CCCCAAAACCCCAAAACCCCAAAACCCCTAGTGTTAGTAATTTGAGTTATAATGTCAAAATTATTAATGGCTCTTGATTATTATTATAAAATCTAAAATGAAAAGACAGGCATTGCATCTTCTAAATGCGAATTACTATCAGTCTTAGAATAATAATATCTTAACTATCAGTAAGAGACTATTTGCTTTAAAACCTAAGAAGCCATAAGCTCCTATAGACCTCCTTAATGTTAAAACAGGTAAATATAGCAAAATACTTAAAATTTTCATTAGATAAATAGTCAGAGATTTCACCAGTGATCAAACAAGAAATGCAAAAGAGATTCCCTGAATTCGATGATAAGCTAGAATTAGACAGAAATAGCCCCTTTTTTTTAGCTAAGATAGCTCCACAACAATATATTAGGCATATAGACTCCTCTTTTGAATCTTTTTTCTATCAGAGAGACTACAACTTAAAGAACTTTAACCATTACTTGCAAGTGTTAGCTCAGTAGTACAAAAATAATGAGGCTTTAGAGGGTCTAAGAAAAATGGAGACACTAGGTATAAAACCAACTGATGAGTCCTATAATATGGTTATGACTGCGTTTGCTAAAAATAGAGATGTTGAAATGGTGGAAAAGCTTAATTAAGAGGCTATTGACAAATATGGATTACTTCCTAGCGTGTCAAGGTATAATGCTTTGATTTTAGCTCTAGCTAAATCAGGTAAAGCACTTGATGCTGAGAAAGTGTTAAGGGAGATGAAGTAAAATGGTTTAAAACCCGATGTTGTTTGCTTTACAACTGTGATTGATGCCTATAAAAGAATCAGAGATATCAATAAGTGCTGGGAGTTATTTGATCTATATGAAACAGTTGAAGCTAATGGTGATTTACCTGATGAATTTTTGCTCTCATATATGATAAGACTATGTGCAGCAACTCACGAACCAGAGAAAGCAATGAGAATTTTTGATAGAATGGAATCCAATGGTTTTGTTAAATAAATAATGCCCTATAACTCCATTATTTTCGCTTTAGCCTCAACTCATAGATATGCAGAAAAAGCTTTGGAATATTGGCATAAAATGCATATAGATAATGTCCAACCAGATAGACATACTTTTGTGGCAGTACTAAAAGCTTGTTCTTAGCTTGGTGATGTATAAACTGCCTACGATGTGCTATAGGAATTAAAGATAAAATAAATGCCAATGACTGAACACGTTTACAACGAACTTATAAGAACATATGGAAATGCTTGCTCTGTAAAAGGCACATCTGAATCATAGATAGATATGTATACCCAGGATGCTTGGAAACTATTTGATCAAATGATTTCAGAGGGAATAGAACCCAATATTCACATCTTAAATTCTCTAGTATTTCTACATGCGAATTCCCTAAGAACTCCAGAGATGGAAGCACAAGTGCTCCCTCTATTTGAGAAATACAAGATCAAGCACGATTTGTATACCTATCAACATTTAATCAAAGCTTATCTCACCATCAGAGAGAACGAAACCTTGCTAAAAATATTTGATAGACTTGTTTAAAAAGAGAAATTCAAGCCAAACTAAATGATTCTTGATATGGTGTTCTAGACTTGCCTTAGAATAGAAAGTTCTGATCGTATTGCTACTGTTTTAGAAAAATACGTTGAATGCAAAAAGATACCTGCTAATTATCTTATGAATCGTATCAGTAATGTCAAAGATCTCCCAGATAGAATCTATATGCTACTTAAGGAAAATTTTCCCAACAGAGGACTAATAGATAAGCCAGTGCGTGTTTTCTCAAAGCCTAAGTTTAGATCAGACGATGGAGTCGTTAAAATGCCTTCTACTAATTTTAAGAAGTTCAAGCCTAGAAAGACTCAAAAGAGAAATCTTGGTTACAAGATGAGGAAAGAAATCAATAGACTTTGAACTGGTCGCATATAATTAACAGCAAAAGAGTATTTAATCATCTACTTATTTTAATTAATCACTCTCGCTTTCCAATAATGAATAAATATATCATTGTGGGGTTTTGGGGTTTTGGGGTTTTGGGG